TCTCGTAGGGTCCTCTAGGCGCCTGTAAATTTGGGACCATGCATTCGCTCGAGGTCGCGCGCACGGGCTATCGCAAAACGCTCCACTCGGTACTGTGCCCCCAGCTATTGACCAGCCGCTCGCCTCGAGCTAATCGAACCAGCCCTCGTGGCCGGCGTCGCTGCGGCCGGATCGAGCGCCGACGTCGTCCCGCTTGTCTGCGCACGTGCCGTCCGTGTCCACGCGCCACCAGTCGAAGCGCACGCGATCGCGCCGCCCGGCACTCGAGCGCCGCCGCCGCGAACCGCTCGCCACACGCGAGATGGTCTCCTTCGGCCTCGCGGGCTACGGCCTGAACAAGAAGAAGCAGCAATCGAGCTCGTCCATCTACAAGATGCTGCCGCGGACGCTCGCGAGCGCGGGCGCGAGCGCCCGCGCCCTCGTCCGCGGCCGGTCCGCGCCGTCGCTCGCGAAGGCGCCGCCGGCGCCGGCGCCGCGCGCGCCGTCGCCGCGCGCGCCGCCGCCGCCGCCGGGCGCGTTCCTCGCCGGCGCGCCGCCGCTGCGCCTGTCGCGCGCCGCCGACGCGCCGCCGCCGCGCGACACGCCCCTCAAGCGGCCCGCGGCGGCCGACGACACGCCGCAGACGAAGCGCGCGAAGGCCGACGCGCCGTCGCCGAGCCCGCGGCCGCCGGTCTACGCGCGGGCCCCCGCGCGGCCGGAGCCCGGCCCCGCGCCCGTCAAGGCGCGCGCCGACGCCTTCGCGCCGGAGACGCCGCGCGCGGCGACGCGGCGCCGCGTCGCGTCCGCGCTCGAGCGCGCGCGCGCCGCGGGCCTCGGCCACAAGCTCGCGAAATACGACGAGGCCTGGATCGAGCAGAAGCTGGACGAGAACGCCGACTACGGCGACCTCGCGCGCAACGTCGAGTGCTTCGTCTCCCGGGCCGTCGACGACGCGCGCGCGGCCGCGCGGCCCGCGTCGCGGCCGCTCGGGTCGCCGCGCGCGGCGCTGTCGCCGCGGGCCCGCGCGGGCTCCGACGCGCGGCCGCCGCCCGCGGCGCCGCCCGGTGCGCCCGCCGCCGCGGCCGAGCATCCCCTGGGCCCCTGCGACAAGTGCGACGGCCCCCACGCGACGTCGCGGTGCCCGCACTTCGCCAAGGACCGCGACGACCACCCCGACGCGCAGCGCGCCAAGGGCCTCGCGTGCGGCGCGGACGGCGGCAACGCCTACCTGCGGCGCGGCGAGGTCATCCGCCAGCCCGGCGACGGCTCCTGCCTCTTCCACAGCCTCGCCTACGGCCTCCGGCTCCAGAACCGCCACGGCGACGCGCGCCAGCTCCGCCGCGAGCTCATGGACTGGCTGTCGCGGAACCCGGACGCGTCCATCGCGGACACGCCCGTGGGCGACTGGGTCAAGTGGGACTCGAACTGCTCCGTCGACGACTACACGGCGCGCATGCGCGGCGCGGGCTGGGGCGGCGGCATCGAGATGGCCGCGTTCGCGCGCCGCTTCGACGTCGACGTCCACGTCTACGAGCGCGACCCCGGCGGCCGCCGCGACCTGCCCTACAAGCGCGTGGCCCGCTTCGAGCCCGGCGACGGCGCGCCGAGCCCCCGGGGGCGGCCCGCGCCCGTCAACGTCCTCTACTGCGGCGGCGTCCACTACGACGCGCTCGTCGCCGACCGCGGCGCGCTCGTCGAGCTCGCCGGCGACGCGGAGCCCCGGCGCTTCGACTACGCGAGCTCGCCGCGCCTCGACGCGCGCGGGCCGTCGCTCCAGCCCAAGACGTGGCACGCGCGCGACGGCCGCGGCGACCGCGGCCGCGACTTTGCCGCGAAGCCGCGGTCGTCCTACTTCTCCCGCGGCGCGCCGAAGCAGGCGCCGCCGCGCCACCAGTTCTACGGGTCCCGGCGGCCCCTCCCCTACCGGCCGACGCGCTGGTAGTAACGTTCGCGCCTCGGACTCTTCGACGGCGCCCCTATGTTCCACGTGCTTCCTTAGTAGCCCTCCCGCGGCGTCCCGCCCGCGGTCCACGCGATGTGCATGATCTCCTCCGCGAGCCGCGCGGCGTCCAGGTTCGTCGCGCGCATGCGCTTGAGGGACTCGGGCGTCCCCGACGGCATCTTCTCGCATTCCAGGCGACCGTCGTGGTTCCCGAGCCACTCGTCGCCCGCGCAGTCGCCGGCCGCTTTCGACGTCCTCGCCTTGCCGCCGCGGCCGTCCTTGCACTTGCAGCTCACGGTCATCGTGCTCGACACCGCGCACTTGCCGCAGGTCGCAAAATAGGGGCCGATGGGCAGCATGTCGCCGTCCTCGGACTTGGCGAGCCGCTCCTTCACCTCTTCGACCTGTACCGCCTCGCGCAAGCCCCAGCCGCGGACGCTCGCGACGCACGCGAGGAGCACGACGAGGGCGCGCTGCGCGCGGGCCATGTCGGTGCAGTGCGACGACGCGGCCGGCGCTAGGAGCTCGAGCTCGACGAGCTGCCGTCGCGCGCGACGACGCGGCCGGCGCGATGGGAGCTCGTCGCACAGCCGCGGCGACAAGTCAAAGCTGCTGTGTCGTCGACGACCCAGCGCGCTGGACTACGAGGTGGGCAGCAGCAAACGCTGCCCAGCGGACCATGGGGAAGAAGGAGAAGCAGGAGATCGAGAGCCTCAAGTCGCGGAACGGCGACCTCGAGAAGAAGATGGCCAAGGACCGCAACGAGGCGGAGAAGCGGCTGAAGGAGGAGATGGACAACGCCAAGGCCGCCCTCGCCGACTGGCAGGCCACGGCCGAGGAGGAGAAGGCCAAGGCCGTCGAGGCGGCGAAGCTCGAGGGCGCGCTCGCCGAGAAGGAGGCCGCGGGCGTCCACGCGAGCTTCCTCGAGGCCAAGGTCGCGGAGCTCGAGGGCAAGGTCTCGGCGCTCGAGGCCGCGCTCGCGGAGTCGCGCGACGCCGCGGCCGCGGCGGAGCAGCACGCCGCCGAGGCGCAGGCGGCGCTCGCGGCGACGTCCGCGGTGGACGCCGGGGCGCCGGGGGTCGACGAGGCCCAGGCGGCCGCGAAGCTCCAGGCCTGCGAGCGGCGGCGGTCCGTCGTCGCGGACCAGCGCAAGAAGCAGCGCGAGGAGCAGCAGCGCCTCGCGGCGCAGCTCAAAGCCGCGGAGGCGTCGGCCGCGGACCTGGCGACGCGGCTCGAGGCGGCCGAGGCCGCGGCGGAGGCCGCCGCGGCGACGCGGGCCGCGGCGGCGCCCGCGGCCGCGGCCGACGACGGCGCGGCCGCGGCGCTCGAGGCCCGGGCCGCGGCGGCGCTCGAGGCCGCGGACGCGCTCAAGGCCGAGCACGCCGCGGCGACGACGCGCCTCGAGGCCGCCGCCGCCGAGGCCGCCGCGGCGCGCGAGGCCGCGCGCGAGAGGCTCGAGACCTCGGAGCGGTCGCTCGCGTCCGAGCGGCGCCGGTCCGTGGCCTTCAAGGCCGACGCGGAGTCGCTCCGGGGCCGCGCGGCCGCCGCCGAGCAGAAGCTTTCGGCCATCCGGCGCAAGTCGACGGTCGCCGACGGCGCCGTCGCGCGCGCCGCGAGCGCGCGGTCCCGCGCGCTCGCGGACGCCGTCGGCCGCGCGTCGCGCGCGGAGGCCGACGGCGCCCTGCGCGCCAAGGAGGCGCGCGACGCCGCCGCGGGCCTCGGCGAGACCATCGCGCGCCTCGGCGCGGCCCTGGCCCACGCGGGCGAGCTCGGCGACGCGGAGCGGCTCTACCACGAGGGCGCGCACCTCCGCGGCGACGTCTTCGGCGCGCGCCACGCGGAGGAGGCGGAGACGCTGCGGGTCATGGCGAACCACTGCCGCGAGCGCAACGACCTCCAGGCGGCCCTGGCCTACATGGAGCGGTCCTGCTCCGCGTACACGAGCTCTTTGCGGTCGGGCGAGTCCGCGGCGGCCGCGCCCTCGCGCGCGCCGACGGCGCTCGAGGCCGCGCGCGCGACGCCCCTGGCGACGCTCGCGGCGCCGGCCCACGCGACGCAGCCCGCGCCCCTCGGGCCCGACGACGCCCTCGTGCCGGACGCGGTGCCCGCGCGGCTGAAGCGAGCGCCGCCGCGGTCGCTGCTCAACGCAGACCGCGAGGACCGCGACCCGCGGCCGCCGCGGCCCCGGTCGCCGGGCTCCGTGCCCGCCGTCGTGTCGTCCCGGCCCCACTGCGTCCGCCACCGCGTCGAGACGCCGCCGAGGCCGCTGCCCCTGGATGACGATCTGATCGTGTAACACGCGGGTGTTTTTACTCAGGCTGGTAGTCGCGGGGCGTGCGCCAGAAGGAGACGACGTGGATGAACACGTCCTCGGGGACCTCGAGGAAGAGGCGCTCGAGGTGTGCGGGCGCGCTCGGCGGCGCGCGGCGGAGCGTCGGCAGCTCGCGGCGGAACGCGAGGAGTTCTTGGCGAGGTGCGGCGACGTACATGTTCCAGCCCCCGGCGGCGCGGACCTCGGCGAGGAGGTCGGCCGTGCGCAAGGCGGTGTCGTCGGGGTACTGGTAGTTGCTGACGTCTTCGGCCCTTTGTCGCGCTGAGGCCTCGGGGTCAAGACCCTGGGAGTTGGTAGCGTCGAGCGACGCGCCACGACTCAGCAGCAGTTTGCATAGCCTGGTCTGTCCATGTCTGGCAGCACTGTCGAGCGGGGTTCCTGAGAACCTGTTCCGAGCGTCGACTTGACCGCCCGCGTTGAGCAAGAGGACAGCTGCGTTCTCCTGGCCGTTTAGTGCGGCTACGTGCAGTGGCGTGCTGCGGTTGATTTCGTCCCTCCCTTCCACCAGAGCGCCGCGATTCAACAACCATCTCATCGCCCCGCACCAGCCTCTTTGCGATGCGTGTTGTAATAGAGTCTCCTGCATTGTGTTCGGTTCTTCAATGCGGACGGGCAGAGATCCATTGATGGTATAGACAGCAACGTCACGATTGATGTCATGACCAGAGGCCACCCAGGCCCGCGCTGCGTCGAGGAAGCTGACTTCGAATTCGTGCGCATCCATGCTGCAGCTATATCTGCTGCCAGGCATAGGTTCATCCATGCTGGGTTTCGTTTTTTAGCCACCTGGGGGGGCCTTGGGGGGGGTTTGACGGGGGTGGGGGGGGTCGACTTCTGCTCGGGCCGGACGCGACAAGCCTCCTGAAAACGGCGCCCCAGTACGCGTCCAGGCCGCCGGGGGCCGCCGGGACGGGGGGTGGGGGGGTTGCTGAGGGCCCATAAACCCCCCCCAGGCCCCCGGGTGGGGCTAAAAAACGAAACCCTGGGCCCGGGCTGCAACAAATGGTAAACCCAAGCCACCAAGAAGCAAGCATGGGCGCTCGTGCGCCGACTATCGCATAGAGGCGGCAGCTCTCGCCACTTCACCGCAACGGCCGCGCAAGCAGAGGCAGCGGTATCTCTTAAGCGCACCACCAGTGCTGCGCCGCCATCACCGGCAGCCATGCGGCGCTGCCGCTGGCTCCTGGTGCTGCTCGCGCCGTCGGCGGCGCTGACGACGCGCCGCGGACGCACGTCGCTCGTCCAGCCGGCGTGGCTCCGGGACCGGCTCGACGACGGGAACACGGTGGTGCTCGATGCGACGCAGGTGCTGTGCCGCGACACGAACACGGTGGCGCCGGCCCGCGCCGCCTTCGAGGCCGCGCGCATCCCGACCGCGCGCTTCCTCGACGTCGGCGGCGACCTGGCGGACGCGTCGCGAGTCACGGCGCGCGGCGACGCGCTGCACAACATGCTGCCGCCGCCGGAGCAGTTCGCGCGCGCGCTCGGCGCCGCGGGCGTCGACGACGGATCGCGGATCGTCCTCTACTCGTCGGCCCACGTCTACTGGGCGACGCGCGCCTGGTGGATGCTCGAGGGCTTTTCGTGGGCCGGCGACGTCTGCGTCCTCGACGGCGGCCTCCGGGCCTGGACCGAGGCCGGCTTCGCCGTCGACGCCGGTTCGGCGCCGGCGCCGCCGCCGGCCGCGTCGCCGCCGCCGCCGCGCGCGTGCCGGCCCGGCGCCTTCGTCGACGCGTCGCGCGTCCTCGCCGCGATCGGCGACGTCGCGCTCGTCGACACGCTCAAGCCCGCGGCCTTCGCCGGCGCCAAGGCGTCGCGCTACGGCCGGCGAGGCCACATTCCCACGGCGACGAACCTGCCCTACACGGCCGTCGTCGATTCGAGCTCGGGCCGCTTCTTCGGCGCCGACGCGATCCGCGCCGCGGCCGCCGCCGCGGGCCTGAGGCCGGGCGCGCCCGTGCTCGCGTACTGAGGCGGCGGGATCTCGGCCACGGCCGTGCTCTTCGCCCTCGTCGAGATCCTCGGCGAGGACCCGGCGCTCCTGTCGCTCTACGACGCCTCTTTGTCGGAGTGGGCGGCGGACGACGCGTACCCCATGGTCTGCCCCGCGGACGATGGCCCATGACGGCCCCGGGGGTCGATCCGTCGACCCCCGAGGCCCGAAAACACGCGCGTAATTCGAGCTCGTTCATGTCGGGCACCTGGCGTCGAGACGCGATGCGTGTCGCGCAGTCGAGGATGGCCACATTCAACATTTTTACTGGTAGTCGCGGGGCGTGCGCCAGAAGGCGAGGACGTGCATGAACACGTCCTCCGGGATCTCGAGGAACAGGCGCTCGAGGTGCGCGGGCGCGGGAGGCGGCGCGCGGCGGAGCGTCGGCAGCTCGCGGCGGAACGCGAGGAGCTCCTGACGAGGCGCGTCGACGTACTTGTTCCAGCCTCCGGCGCCGCGGACCTCGGCGAGGAAGGCGGCCCTGCCCAGCCTCCTGACCGCGTGCTCGTGCTCGGCCGGGGTGTCAATTTCTCCCGCGGCCTGCCGCTGGTGGTACACGTCCTCCCATGGGCACATTTCCCCTGGGAGCATGCCATGTTGGTCATGCGCGTCAATCGATGCGCCGCGGCTTAGGAGCAGCTTGCAGAGTCTTAAATGGTTCCGGTCGCGGGGACAACTGTTGGGGAGAAGGTAGTCAGATGCCTTTGCCGCCTGATGAAGCGCAGTCTCGTCCCAAATTGTACGACTGTCGACCGGAGCGCCCGCGTCGAGCAAGAGGAGTGCTACATCGTGATGGTCAAACAAGCCAGCAACCCAAACCGCGTCTGGGTTCGCACCCTTACTTAGCAGCCATCGCACGCTTGAGCACCAACCTCGCATCACTGCAAAACTAAGGAGCCCAATACCACCCAAACCCTCCGTGATAACATCACCCGGAATATGTTCATGAATCGAGAATTTGTCGATGTCGACGGTGGCCGGTGAACCGTCCCACCACGCGTTCAGTTCATCGAGCAAGGCCCTATCAGACACAGGCACAGCCGCCATGCTCGACCGGGCCCGGGGCTGCGTCAACATTGGGGTACCATCGGCTCGGACCAAGACATGGCTGTGTGCCGATGGCCTACTAGTAGCAGCCAGAGCTCGCAATGAACGTACGAAGCGCAGCCCTCTGCTGCGCCTTCAGCTGCGGCCGCGCGCTGGAGTTGTCGAGCCGCCTGCTCGCGCGCGTGCGGCGCGTCGACGCCGGCGGCGAGGCCTATGCGGCCGCGCGGCACTTCGTGGTCGGCGGCGAGGTCCTCGGGCGCGTGCTGCCGCAGGCCGCCGAGGCGCTCGGCGGCACGGGCCTCTTCGACGTCAGCGACGAGGCCGTCGCGCTGCCGGAGGAGCCCGGCGCGGCGGACGTCGTCGCGGCGCGGACCGCGCGGCTCGCGGCGGCGTTTGGGGCGCTGCGCGAGGCGGGCGCGGTGCCCATGCTCGCGGGCTGGCGCGACGAGCCCTTCGCGATCCGGCCGTCGTTCCACGCGGCGCCGCGCGCCGTCGTCGAGCGCGCGGCGGCGCCGCTCCTCGGCGCGCGCGCGTACGGCGTCTTCTGCGTCGGCTACGTCGTCGACGCCGCGTCGGGGCGGCCGGCGGCCGTCTGGCTGGGCCGCCGGTCGCCGGCGAAGCCGACCTGGCCGGGCCTGCTCGACGTCCTCGCCGCGGGCGGCTTGAGGGCCGGCGCGCTGCCGCGCGCGGCGATGGAGGCCGAGTGCGCCGAGGAGGCGGGCCTGTCGGCGGCGCTGCTCGCGGAGCTCCGGCCCGCGGGCGCGGTGAGCTACACGGGCCTCTCCCAGGACGGCTGGGGCGCGAAGCCCGACACGCTCTACGTCTTCGACCTGCCCCTGCCCGACGACTGGACGCCGACGGCCGTCGACGGCGAGGTCGAGAGCTTCGAGCGCATCGCCGTCGCCGACCTGCTCGACCGCCTCGCGCGCGACGACGACGCCTGGAAGCCCAACGTCGGCACGGTGCTCGTGGACTTCGTCCTCCGCCACGGCTTCGTCGACCCCGACGAGGCCGACTACCTGGAGCTCGTCGACGCGCTCCGCGCGGGAAGCTGCCGGTAGCGGCGCTCGCGCTCGCTAAGCACGAGTGCGACACGATGCATTTTTTGGGGGCACCTGGCGCTGCCCACAGCGTAAACGTCGCCTTAGTGCGGTCTTGCTGGCTGATGGGCACCGCGTGACCGCTTTCACACTTACTTTCATTGCAACCATACTGCAACATCATAGCGCGTGTCAAATCGCTGTGGCATTTTCAATTGGCCATGGCCACCACGGAGCGCCCCGCCAATGTCGGCATCCTCGCCATGGAGTGGTACGCGCCGCAGACCTACGTCGCGCAGACGTCCCTGGAGGAGCAGGACGGCTGCGGCGGCAAGTACGTCGTGGGCCTCGGCCAGGAGGCCATGGCCTTCGTCGACGACCGCGAAGACATCGGCAGCGTGCTGCTGACGGCCTGCCGCCGCCTCCTGACGGGCTTCGGCGTCGCCCCGGCGGACGTGGGCCGCCTCGAGGTGGGCACGGAGACGCTCGTCGACAAGTCCAAGTCCGTCAAGACGACGCTGCTCCAGCTCTTCGGCGACCACCGCGACGTCGAGGGCGTCTCGAGCGTGAACGCGTGCTACGGCGGCACGGCGGCGCTGCTCAACGCCTGCGCCTGGGTCGAGTCGAGCGCCTGGGACGGCAAGTACGCCGTCGTCGTCTGCGGCGACATCGCCGTCTACGAGCCCGGGCCCGCGCGGCCGTCGGGCGGTTGCGGCGCCGTCGCGCTCCTCGTCGGGCCCGGCGCGCCCCTGGCGCTCGAGCCCGCGCGGGCGACGCACGCCATGGACGTCTGGGACTTCTACAAGCCCCACCACTCGGAGTTCGCGGCCGTCGACGGCAAGCTGTCGCAGGCGTGCTACCTCCGGTCCGTCGACGGCTGCTGGGCCGGGCTCAAGCGCAAGGCGCCGGCGGCGACGACGCTCGACGCCTTCGACCACTGCGTCTTCCACGCGCCCTACAACAAGCTCGTCCAGAAGGGCTTCGCGCGCCTCGCGCTCGGCGACGACGTCCTCGCGGGGCGCGTGGCCGACCCGCCGGCGGCCGACTGGTGCGCCGCGGGCGCCGCTCCCTACGAGGCCTCCCTCGCGGACCGGGGCCTGGACGCGGCGCTCCGCAAGGCGAGCGCGGGCGCCTACGACGCCAAGGTCGCGCCCGCGACGCTCATCCCGAAGCAGATCGGCAACACGTACACGGCGTCGGTCTTCGCGGGGTTGCTGTCCCTCGTCGCGGACCGGGGCGACGCGCTCGCGGGCAAGCGCGTGCTCCTCTTCTCCTACGGCTCCGGGTCCGTCGCGACCATGTACGCCTTCAAGGGGCGCGAGGCCGACGACGCCAAGTTCGCCCTGGGGGAGACGCGGCGCGTCGCGGACGTGCCCGCGCGCCTCGCGGCCCGCGCGCCCTGCTCCGCGGCCCACTTCGCGCGCGCCTGCGACGTGCGCGTCGAGCGCTACGGCAAGCCCGGCTACGCGCCGACGGGCGCCGCCGAGACCGACGGCGCGGCGCCCGTGCCCCTCGCGGCGGACGCGTTCGCGCTCGCGGCCGTCGACGACAAGCACATCCGCTCCTACGTCGCGCCCGCGAACTAGGGACGGCGCGATAACAGCCCGCTTATCGACCGCACGCGCCGCACGCGGCCGGGCACGCCGCGCCCGCGACGAGGACGCCGTCCTGGCCCGTCTTGGCGCAGCGCCTCTCTGCCAAGTCTTTGGCTTGCTTGGGTGAATCCTCCGGCTCTCGCCACGACAGAACCACGACTTGTAGCGCCCCGCGTCGCCCTTCCCGTCGCCCTTCCATCCACAGGGGGTCGCTCGATCGCGCCTTTCTTCTTCAAAAAAAGCCCATTACAAAGTGGTTGAGGTCAAGCTTTGAGTCAAATCACAGAAGAATGGGGCTGCCCCTCTGACGGCGCATGGTCGCAGTGCTCGCCTGGTCCACTTCGCTCACCATCGCGAGCGCCCTCGCGGCGACGCAGACGTCCATGTCGACGTGGGCCGACCTCGCGGCGCGCGCGGGCGCGCCGGCGCCGCGGCTCTTCGACGAGACCGAGCGCCTGCACGGCGCGGACGCGCCCAGGGTCCGGCTGTGGCACGACGCGGCGGCGTGGCACCCCTTCGCCAACCAGGTCTGGCTGCTCCTCGAGGCGGCGCGGATCCCGCACTGCCGCGCCGTCGTGCCCCTGTCACAGTACCGCCGGCCGGGCCCGCGCGACGACGCGCGCCTCGCCGCGTTCGCGGACGCGCTCCCCGGCGCCAACCCCAACGGCGTGCCCTACGTGCAGCTCGCGACGGCGGCCGGCGGCTGGGGGCCGCCGCTCCGCGAGCGGAGCGCCGTGGCGCTCCTGCGCGCGCTCGACCGCGAGTTCCCCGAGCACGGCCTGCTGCCACGCGCGCCGCGGCGGCGCGCGCTCTGCGACGAGCTCCTCGCCCGCTACGCCGACCTCCAGAAGGCGCTCTACGGCGTCCTCGGCGGCAAGTCGACGGCGGCGGCGCGCCGGGCCTACGCCGCGCGGATGGACGCCTGGGACGCCTGCTACGCGCGCGAGTCGGACCTCGCGCTCTGCCCCGACGACGGCGGCGAAGCGCCGGTCCCGCGCGACGCGCCGTTCCTCCTCGGGTCGCTCGGCGCGATCGACGCGCTGCTGCTCCCGCTCCTCGAGCGCTGCGAGGCGAACGTGCCGCACGCCGTCGTGGGCACCGGCCGCGAAAAGCTCGCGCTCGGCCGCTGGCCGGCGCTCGCGCGGCTCCTCGCGGCCGCGCGGCGCGACGTCTGCCCGATCCACGCGCTCCTCGGCGATCCTACGACGACGCTGGGGGTCCGCCTCGCGGTGACGGGCGCCGTCGGCCGCCAGCCGCTGCCGCCGCCGCCGCCGCCGGACGCCGCGGCGGCGGCCGCCGCCGCGGCGGCGCCCGCGGCGCGCCTCGACGCCGCCGCCCGGCTCTGCGCGAACGGCGCCGCCTGCGCCGGTCTCGCGGCGTCCCGAGTTTTTCGAGAGACGTCGGCCGGGACGCCGACGCGCGCGGCAGGCTTCGCGGCGGCGGGCTCGGGCACGGGCCGGCCCCGCGGGGACGCGGCCGCGCGGAAAAAGGCGACGGGCGCCGAGACCGTCGCGGCCGTCGACGACGCGCTCCGAGCGACGGCGGCCGCGCTGCTCGACGACGGCTTCGCGGTCCGGCGCGCGGCCGAGGGCATCGTCGAGGCCCGCGGCGAGGACCGCGCGCGCGCCGCGGCGGAGGCGCTCGTCTTCCTCGCCGAGAACACGGGCGCGCGGCGCGGCGTCCCGCGGGCGTCTTCGAGAGGGTCCGGGACGCGACGAATGTCCACTAGGTGCCGCGCGACATGGACCGCGAGCCGGCGGAGGCGTTCCGCGCGCACCTCCGGCTCGTCGGCGCGGCCCTCGCCGCGTGCTGCGACTCGTAGGAAGATTAATCCGGCTCCGCCGCGGGCGCCGTCTCCTCGACCGCGGCGGACTCGCCGAAGCACCACTCCGCGACGCCCGCGTCGGAGTGGCGGATCGTGTGGCGCTCGCTGGGCCACTTGGCCCCTTCCGGATGCACCGAGCGCACGTCCACGGCGATGTCGCCGGCCGTCGCGGCCCGGGAGAACCCGAACGTCTCGAAGTCGACCGCGTAGAAGTCGTTGAGCGCCGCGAGGACGTCGTCGGACAGGAGACGGTAGAGGGTGCACTTGCCGTTGCACTTGCGCCGCTCGATCAGCTCGCGGACCGTCGTCCGCGTCCGCGTGCCGTTCGAGATCATGCCCTCGAGCGGCCGCTCCGACGCCTCGCCGAGCGCCACGCCGACGTACCGGCTCAATTCCACCGCGAGCGCCTGGTTCCCGAGGCAAAAGGTCGCGTCCACGGTCCGGCGGCCGGCGTCGTCGAAGACGTAGTAGGCCTGGGGCAGCCAGTGGCAGTCGCCGTGGAACGGTCCGCCGCGCGTCGCCTGGTAGAGCCGCGCGCGCAGATGGTCGCGCGTCGGCGGCCGCCCCGGCGACGACGCGTTGCGCAGCGCGTCGCGGATGAAGGCGTTCATGCCGTCGCCGGACGCCTCGTAGCCGAGCTGCGGCGTCCAGACGCCCTTGCGGCCCCAGCTCCACTCGCTCAGCGCGCGCTCGTACGGGTGGCGCAGGATCGCGAAGGACGTCGTCGCCGTCGTTTGGACGTGGCGCGGCGGCGTGTGCCGCGCGGAGCAGGCCACGTCCGGGGAGCGCGGCTGCGCCATCATTTTGACGCCCGCGCGCCGCAGGAGACCGGCCACGCGTGTGCCGCCATTTTTAGGAATGTGAACGAAGTTGAGCTCGGCGAACTTGGGCGCCGCGTCGCACGTCGTGATGCCGATGAGCGCCGCGATGAGATGTGCGACCATGCCCAGACTCATCGCATTGGGGCCGCGGAGCGATCGGTACGGTTGGCAAAAGTCAACGAGCTCACTTTGAAGCCATGTTACTAAAGTCACGGTTGCACCCTTAGTTGCACAGCATGCATAGTTAGGCGGCCGGGGACTTGGCGGCGCTGTCCGGGAGGGCGGCGAGGGCCCAGCCGGCCTTGAGCTTGGCGGCGAAGAGCGTCCACTCCTCGAGGCCGACGGCCTTGTCGCCGTCCGCGTCGAGGACGGTGAAGACGACGTCGACGTCCGCGGGCGAGATGCACTCGCCGACGTCCTCGGCGTAGAGGGCGAGCTCCTCGCGGGAGATGGCGCCCGTGTTGTCCGCGTCGAAGAGGGAGAAGATGAGGCGGAGCGCGAAGATCTCCGCGTCGCTGAAGTCGTCCGCGGCGCCGCGCCGGCCGAGCGGCGACCGCGCGGCCGCGTCGTTGGGCCGGCGCGACGCGCGCAGGCCCCGGCTGAGCTCCTTGAGCTCCGGCGACATCGTGTGGCCCGACCGGTAGGAATCGGTGACGAGGGATTTGAGGCCCTTGGCCGACGAATCGTGGATCGCGGTCTTGCGAGGGACGCCCGGCGCGCCTCGCTCGATGGTCGCGAGGAACGCCTTGATGCCCGGCGGCGCGAAGCCGCGCGACGGCGCGAGGCGCTTGCGCATGGCCGCGGGCGAGAGCTCGTTGATGGCGTCGCCGCGGAGCGCGGCGGCGAAGCGCCACGCGGGCGGCGGCGTGGCCGGCGGCGGCGGCGCGGCCTTGGCCGGCGGCGAGCCGGACACGCCGTCGGCCCAGGACACGGCGAGCGGGTCGCGGTTCTCCTCGAGTTTCGGCCCGCGCGCCGCGCGCGGCGACGCGGCGCCCCGCGGCGCCTCGAGGAGCGCCGGGGCGGCGCCGCGCTTCCGCCGCGCGCGCACCGGCGAGAGGAAGGACTTGAGCCCCAGCAGCTCCTTGGCCGTGTCCACCAGACTCCGGAAGGACGTGGGCATGTAGGGCACCACCAGATACGCCTGGCGCACGAAGTGGGCCTCGTCGCCCTCCGCCTCCCCCGGCGCCTCGACGTCCGCCGCGCACGCCGACGGCTCGAAGAGCAGCGCCGTCGCCTTGGCGCGGCCCAGCAGGAGCGCGGCGCCGAGGTTCGCGTGCTTGCCGCAGTAGTTCGACGCCGAGAAGACCGTCGTGACGCGGCCGAGCTTCGTCCGCGCCGCGTCGGTCGCCGCGTCGACCAATTCTTTCGGCCCCGACGTCGAGAACGGCACGTCGACGTCCCCGAAGTCGCAGGACAGGCCCGCCTCCATGACCTCGTGGGCGCGCACGAGCGCCGTGAGCCCGTTGGTCTCGAGAAACGCCTCCGTCGCGCGCTCGCCGAAGACGACGGAGCAGCCGCGCAGGGGGTTCGGCCCCCAGGCGTCGACGGCGGCGCCGCCGGCGTCGTCGCGGCTCGGGTCCGCCCAGAGCACGTCGCAGAGCAGGCCCTCGTCCGGCGGCTCCGCGCGCCGGTCCAGCGCCTCGAGGTCCGCGATGGACTTCAGGTCCGGGCCGATGCCGCCGTGGCACGCGAAGACCTTGCCAAAGTCGCAGTCGATCACCGCCGCGAGGGGCATGGCCTCGAAGACGCGGCAGAACTCGTGGTAGGCGCCCAGGCCGTACTTGCGCCGGCACTCCGCGCGGAAGCCGAAGTGGCCCGTGCACGCGCGGCTCTCGTGGTTGCCCCGGAGGAGGTGCACCTGGGCGGGAAAAGAGCGCGAAATTGCCAACCTTCGGAGGCTCGTATCTCGGTCACTCGTTTCGGCTCATTTTTGGACGAGCGATCATCTCTCGGAGCGCTCTCGACGCGTGGATGTTTGTTTCCGGAACGCGCGCGCGCGGAACACTCGTGTTGAAGCGAACGTGAATCACTCTTTTCCCGCCCCGAGGCGCACGAGCCCCGGGTGCGCGACCTTAAGCGCGAGGAGGTAGAGCAGCACCTCGCAGCCCCGCGCGCCGCGGTCGACGTAGTCGCCGAGGAAGAGGAGGGCGCCGTCGCCGGCGCGGCCGCCGCCGTAGAAGGCCTCGTCGCCGCTGCTCTCGGAGTCGTCGCCCGCGTCGTCGGAGAGGCCGCTCCGGCGCCGGCGGAGCGCGGACCGGGGCGCGTCGTCGCCGTCGTCGTCGTCGTCGTCGTCGAGGCCCGGGGCCAGGGCGTCGCTCTCCGGCGCGCCGCAGGCGCGCCGCGCGCGCGCGAGGCCCGCGTCGCCGCCGTGGACGACGGTCATCAAGTCGGCGTACTGGCCGTGGAGGTCGCCGACGAGGACCAGCGGCGCCGCGAGGCGCAGCACGTTGGGCTCCGCGGCCATGGTCTCGCGCCCGGCCGCGAGGAGGCGCAGCACCTCGTCCAAAGCCACGGCCTCGCCGCACGCGAACTTGTAGCGGAGGTCCGCGGGAGACAGCACGCGCCGCCCGACGCCCGCGAGGTCCACGGCGGCGACGCGCGCGGAGCTCGCGGGGATGTCGAAGCGCCGCGCGCGGTCCTCGATGGTGCTCGCGCGCGCCTTCCGCCGCAGGGCCTCGCCGGGCGACGGCGGCGCGGGCGCGCGCGCGAGCGCCGCCGCCGTCGCCGTCGGCGCCGTCGCGAGGAACTCGCCGAGCGACGACCGGCGGCGCGCGGCGACCGGCGGCGGCGGCGGCGGTAGTTCCTCCTCGGTCCGCGGGGGCGCCCCGAGGTCCGGCACGGCGAGCGCCGTCACGTAGGCCTCGACGTCGCCGCCGGCGTCGATGGCGTCGAAGCACTCGCAGCAGAGCCCGTTCTCCACGGTCTCCGTCGCGCAGCCCTCGCACATGGTGACGCCGCACTTGCACGGGAGCGTGCGCGGCACGCAGGCCTCATCGTAGTCCGCAGAGCAGACGGGGCATTGGCGGGAGATTTCCTCCATGCCGTCGAGCTCCAACCGTCCCGAGTCCTGAAACGGACCGCAGGCTCAGCTCGGTGTCGGACACCTCGGCGCGTGACGCGTGCGCGTACCTGGACAAAGAACCGCCAGGCCACGGGACGTACGAGTTATAATAATTACAGATCTGAAATGCGACCCGCCGCCGTGAGCGCGGCCAGGGATGGTGGCCCGCGCGCGGCGACGGGCGCGTGAGGCGCGCCGGAGCGGCGAAAGTGGGCGGAAAGTCGAAGCCGGAAGACAGCGTCGAGGTCGAGTTCGGAGGGGGGCGACTACGGGAAGCGGAGCGCGGCGCTGGACGAGAACGAGGAGCGGCCGTCGTCGGAGTTTTCGGGGGTGACGCGATCCGCGCGGGCGTCGTCGCCGATCGCCGGCGTAGGACAGGAGAGCCAGATCGCCGCCGCGGCCTCCGCGTCGAAGCTCACGACGCTGTCAGCGGAGGACCCGGGCGACGGGGGCGCGTTGATCTCGTCGCGGTCTTGGAAGGACATGCGGAGCTTGCGGAACTCGTCGAAGAACTCGTCTCGGGCGCGGGCCGCTGCGCTGTCGCCTTCGGGCTCGGCCCGCGGACCGCAGGCCTGCCGCTTCGGCGGCGGGCCGGGTCCCGCGAGGCCGAGGCGGTGCACGGCGTCGGGCGACGCATCGTCGTCGGCGGCGGCCGGCGGAGGTGCGGACGCGAGCGGGACCGGGCCGGAGGCGGCGCGACGGGGCGGCGCGACGGGGGGGCGGGCGCCCCCGAAAACTTGCCCAGCCTCGGATATGAGCGGCGGTAAGTGGGACGGGATGCTCGCCTCCGAGGGCTGAGATGGCGATGTGCTGCGAGCGGCCGGAGCATCGAATTGAGGCCCAGTCGAGCGCTGCCCATCAATCCCGTCCATTGCCTCGCGTCGACTCGGAGGGCAGCCCGAGGCCGCCAACCTGCTGGCTCCCGAGCGCGGCGCGGAGGGGGAGCGCGGGGAGGGGCGCGGCGTCGCTGCCGCGGGCGACGGGGCGCCGCAACCTTATTCCACTTGCCAACTCCGCGGGTTGAAAGCGACGTCGGCGGGGGAAGGCTGCCGCCTCCAAAGGGTCAACAACCTGACGAATTAGTTTAATGAGTGGTGTATAATGAACGATCGCGAGAAAGGAAACGGTAGCTTCACTCTGGTGTTGACTCGCGCGACCCAAAAGTCCCACATTGCACTCTTTGTCCGAGTTTACTCTAAAATGACTTCAAGCAAGCGTAAACATCGGCTCGGCTCGACCGAGACTGACTCGCTCTCCTGTGATCTGACCAAGCTGTACACACGATGGCCGGCCTCAAGAGACTCGTCGTCGCCTGCGCGGTCTGGCAGGCGCACTCCCTCACGTCCGGCGCCATCTCTCGGCGAGCGCTGGGCGCCGCGCGGCCCGCGCGCGCGCGACCGGAGGCGCCGCTGACGATGAAGCGCAAGGGCAAGGTCGGCGGCCGCGTGCCCGGCACGGGCCCCCCGGCGGCCATGGTCGAGCAGCAGCGCCAGTACGCCGAGTACCAGAAGGCGCGGGAAGGATCCGACCTGCCGTCCTTCGACCTCTACGTCAAGGGCCCGAACTCGCCGACGTGGTACCCGGCCGGCGCGCTCGGCGGCGACTCGCGGTCCAAGGACCTGGTCGAGTCCTACATGGGCGGCCTGCTGAGCGGCGTCGCCAAGGGCGGCATCGACCGCGGCGTCGCGTCGTCCCTCTTCCCGGACAAGGACAAGTTCGTCGCGCGGTGCCTCGAGACGTACCCGCAGCTCAAGAAGGCGAAGAAGGACCTCAAGTTCGGCTACAAGCTCTCCTACCCGGGCCTCCTCGAGAAGCGGCCCGAGGCCGCCGAGGTCACGGAGCTCACGGAGGACATGCAGGAGAACTTCCTCGACAAGGCCAAGAAGAACCTCGGGCTCTAGGCCGGCCCTAGACGCGACGCGCGCCGCTAACGTGGTCGGGTCTCTAGCTAGGCCGCGGCGGCGGGCGGCCGCTTCAGTACTGGTACTGGGGCGGCGGCGCGCCGTACTGGGGCGGCGGCGCGCCCTGGTACTGGGGCGGCGGCGGCTGCTGGTACTGGGGCGGCGGCGCGCCCTGGTACTGCGGCGGCGGCGCGCCCTGCTGCTGGTACTGGGGCGGCGGCGCGCCCTGCTGCTGGTACTGGGGCGGCGGCGCGCCCTGCTGCTGGTACTGGGGCGGCGGCTGCTGGCCGTACGGCTGCTGGCCGTACTGGGGCTGCTGGTACTGCTGGCCGTACTGCGGCGGCGGCTGGCCGTAGGACGGCGACGGCGGCGGCGGCGCGCCGTACTGGTACTGGGGCTGCTGCTGCTGGTAGGGCTGCTGGTAGGGCTGGGGCGGCGGCGCCTGGTACTGCTGCGGCGGGGGCACGACGGCGCCGACGGCCGGCTTCGGCGACGGCAGCGGCACGCGGAACTGCATGCCCGGGCCGACGCTGCCCGGGATGACGATCTGGAGCCGCTGGCCGTCGGGGGACTGGACGATGACCTGCATGCCCGCGCGCGCGTTCGCCGGGCAGGTCACGGTCATGTACTGCTGCGCGGGGCCCGCCGGCACGACCTGCGCGACGGAGCCGCCGGCCATCGCCGCGTTGAAGAGCTGGCCGCCGACGGCGCCCAACGGCGGCGCCGACGGCGCCGCCGCGCCAGGCCGCGGCGCCGCCGCGCCCGCGCCGTGGACCCGGAGCTTGCAGACGCACGAGCCCTCGCCGCGCGCCTTGCCCTTGTAGAGGAACTTCGTCTCGAAGCCGCGGGGCTGGTCCGGGCACCGCTTCAGCGCCTCGAGGTTCGTCAGCTTGCCCACGCCGAGCATGTCGTCGCTGGACCCGAAGTCGTAGTCGTAGGCCACCATGTCGACGCCCTGCGCCATGTCCGCGTCGCTCAGG